AGGTATCAGCTTCTTTGCTGCCATTTCACCATCCCTTAGTGGCCCAAACCGGAAATTGATGAGAGAAATCTGAAAGGCGCTGCTTGAAACAGCTGTGGCTAGGTTGTCAGAGTATGAGATAGGAGTTACTCAGTTGAAGTTTAGACTCTTTCAGTCTTCCATGGCCACAGTGATTATTCTGAATGTTTACCATGTCATTCCTGCCTGCCACTCTCTTAGTGACTGTCCATTCTTTTTTTTTTTTTTTTAAAGATTTTATTTATTTATTTGTCATAGAGAGAGAAGCGAGAGCGAGCACAGGCAGACAGAGTGGCAGGCAGAGGCAGAGGGAGAAGCAGGCTCCCTGCCAAGAAAGGAGCCCGATGTGGGACTCGATCCCAGGACGCTGGGATCATGACCTGAGCCGAAGGCAGCTGCTTAACCAACTGAGCCACCCAGGCGTCCCGTGACTGTCCATTCTGTGTTACTTCAAAGAGCATGTTCAGCTAGGCATGGCTGAAATCTGTTGAGGTTGCTCCCACCATGTTTCTTTCAGTTCTCTGAGCTCTCTAAGAGTCATTTCCAACTTTGGAGCACTTAGCAGTTCTTACTGCTTAAGGGACTAAGCCCCTCCCCCCCATCCTTTGTTAGCCTTCAGTTTTCACCTCAGAGGGAGCTGCACTGCCTAAATCCCCCCCTTCCGTCCTACAGTAGTTTTCTTTATATTATATTATATTTTATATTATTTTGTGCAACTTGTTTCCCTGCTCCGTGGCTCTTACAGGTGGTAACCGTGAGCTTATTTCTGTAGTTAGTGGTTAGAAATGCAGTTTCTAAAGTTAGAATGCCTACTCGACTTACCAGGCCTATGACCCAGGACAAAATACTTAGCCTTTCTCTCTATATAAAGCTGAGACAAAAGTGTATAGGATTATTTTCAGGATTAAGTAAATTTACTTGAAGAGTGCTCAGAACAATGCCTTCAAAGGCTCAGTGAATATTAGCTATTACTTGCCATTGTCTAGTGCCTGTTTTTCCTACTACACTAAGCTTTGAGGACACAGACCACTTCTGTCTTGCTGACTATTACATACTCAGCACCTTATAATCGTGTGCCCTCAGAAAATATTGAAGAATGTGTTGAAGAATGAGTAGAAGTTATTCTAGTGAAAAAGGGTTGGTGGCAGGACATTCTAGGTAGAGGCAGAGACACGTGAAGACATGGAAGCACATTGTGAAGGGCACATTCGTGGAATGGTCTCTAGACCACCAGTGGTCTGTTTCTTAGCTATTGGTCCGTGTGCTGTTTGAGTGGTCCATCGGAGACAGCCATTAGTGTAATCATAATGACCAATTTGTGGGATTTAAGAAAAGGATAGCTGAAATAGTAGACAAGAAGAGTGAGTCAGGGGAGACTAATTTGTTTCAAACTGTACTAAGGTTCTTACTCAGGAGAGGGAGGTGAAATACTAACTTTAGATTTTGTTGTTATATGTACATAGCAAAATTTCACAGTAAGCCCCTGAAAGTCTTGGAATTGGGGATATAACTTCTAAACCAGCGAGGGAGGAAAATGGAATAAGAAGTTCAACAAGCATGAAATTCTTCTTCAGTCTATGGACCATGGTTTTGGAGTGGTGAAGGAGGAGACATGGGATGACAATGCCTAGTTGAAGTTGCTGTCCACTGAGGGCTGCACTCAGAGCCTGTTCCCTTCTGTGCTGACATGTGCCATGCCCCATGGAGCACAGAGGAGGCATGGGAACTCCTGGGCCTGCACTTCTCCCCTCGTGCTGGTGGGAGCAGCCAGGAAAACCTGCACAGGGACACACAGATGGACTCCTTCATATCTGCCTGACACGAGTGGCCATGCAGGAGGGATGGCTCAGAGCACACAACCCAGCTAAATGGAACTGCAGACATAGAGCCGTGGTGAGAGCCAGGGGCCTGTGATCACTGAGCCACCTTTACGAGCAGCAAGTTGGAGACCACCAGCTTCTTTGATTTGGGTGAGGATGACTATATCCGCAGGTTCCGCAGCTCCACAGAGCAGAGAGTACCTCACAGCTGATGAGAAAACAAGCGGTGTCGGAAGCAGGGGGTTTCATGGCCTAAGTGGACCTGGTCCTTCAGCAGCACCATGGACTCCACCATGTCATTCAACATCACTGTCACTCTCATGGAAAAGTACAAGTTTCTGGGCATCTCCACTGTAGGCCAAGGCAATGAGTATGGTGATGGAGTCGTCTGCGTTGTCTCTGTCGTGAAGGCTAGGGCCACGGCTGCTGGTGGAGGCGTAGATCTAGGGGATACGCTGTTACAGGCAAGCTAGATGAGCTGTGAGAACATGAGTAATGACAGCACAGTACGGGTTTTGTAGGAGACTGTGCACAGACTGGGGCCATCACCCTAACTGTAGCCAGAAGGGCTGGGACCCAAGTCCACATAGCTACTTCACACTGCCCAGGAGTGAGCCCATCTGGCCCATTGACCCTGCATCCTGGGTCACCCACGCTGTGGCCTCTGGCCTGAGCCCTGTCCTGAGCACCATCACCTCCACTAGCTCTTCCATCACGAACTCCATTCATGACAGTGCCTGGATGATGTACACCTGTCTTTCCACATTGATGGAGCCACCATCGTCAAAGCCATGGCCTCTGAATCTGGGCTGGAGGTTAGTGGCTGCATGTGGCTCAAAATTACCATCCCCAGTGCTTTCATTGGTTTGGGCGTGGTGGACTTGCTGTGCCACAATGGGGAAGGCCTCCATGATTGGCAGGAGGCCAGCCAGTACACTAGCAGCCTTCCAAAAGCAACTTTACCTGCTGCACTAGCAACAAGCTCACCTCTGGGCAGTGCTTCTCCATCTTCAGGGACCTCTGTGGCAACATGGTCAATGTGTCCCTCTGTGATCATGATGACTTCCATGGTATCTCTGACCAGGACACATTGGCCCCCCTGCCACACCCGGGGGCCACCCCTTGGTCCAAGGCTTTCCCTTACCAGTACCCGCTGCCCTCACACCCCTACAGCCTATGCCTGGGCTTCCCAGAGCTGTTTTTTTCTTTTTTTGTTTTTTGTTTGTTTGTTTGTTTTGAGAAACTTGTTAAGCTGAGTCTCAAATTAATATCAAAGGGCAAAGGCCCAAGAATAACCTAGACATTCTTGAAGAGCCTATGGGAAGCAGGGGACCTGCTCTATCGGATATCAAGAGTTGTTATTAAGCTATGATTAAGACAGTGGTAGTGGCACCCATATAGACAAGTTGACAAAAGGGACACGATATCCCAGAAATGGACCCATCCATATCTGGGATTTGTCACACAAGATAAGTAGCTTTGCAGATCACTTTGCAGAAAAGAAGAGATTATGCAGTACGTGGTGGTAGTGCCTCTGTTATCCATGCAGACAGGGATGAAGCTGGGTACCTACCTCACACCATACACAAAAATCAACCTAAATGTGAAAGTGAAACTATAATACTTGTAGGGGAAGAAAAGGAAGTGTCTTTACCTCAGTGGAGGAAAGGGTTTATTAAAAAAAAAAAAAAAGACACAAAAGGCAGTAGCATAAATGAAAAGATTGATATATTCAGTTCTGTTAAAATTAAGAGAATCTCTTCACAGATACCGTAAACAAAGTGAAAAGATAGAAGATATTTTCCAATTTATAATTTGGTGTATTAGAATCAACCATATAAAGAACTGTACATACAAAAGAAAAAGATAGCCAACCCACTAAAAAATGGGAAAAAGACACAAGCAGGCGTTTTCCACATGGGGAAACATGAATAGCAAGTGAATATGATAAGGGATGTTGAACCTCATTGGTGATTTGAAGAGAAATGCAATTTAAACCCACAGTGAGACTATTTTATTTAAGAAGTTTGTCAGTGTTCTGTGGCTTTAAGCTGCGGAATTTAGAATTCATTTGTTCATTCAGTAAATATTCTCTCTGTGCCAGGCACTGTTTAAATACTTGGGCCATCTCAGTGATCCAAATCAACAAAAATCCTTGTCCTGTGGAAGATACTTATGAATGCATATATGAGAGGTTGAGGAGTAGGGTCAGACAATAAACAGTTGCATTAAAATAGAAAATAGTGATAAAAATAGAGCTCTAAATATTGCAACCCACAATAATGTTATAGACAGATTAGTAACTAGGGCTCTCATGTGAAATGTTAATACCCATGTGCTGAAACAAAGTTTGTGCATTTTCACATATGCAGATCAAAATTAGTTCACACCAGAAAACATAATATTAAGACCTGAAAATTGCATTTGATTTGACTGCTATCTTTATGTATCATTTTTATATGAATTATTGATAAATATAATGTCTAGGGGAGACACCCAAACTTTTTTTAGAGACAGTCATTAATTCAACAAATAAGTGAAAATCTTCTTTGCACCAACCGTGTTAGGTCCTGGGTGTAGATAGTGAACAAAACAATCAAAATATCTAAGGCTAGAGGATATTAATGTTAAATGTTGAAGATGAGGTACTAGGATTTCTTAAGATTCAAAAGGCCCAATCACCAAGTTAGACTTTTTTTTAACAATTACTATAATTTTCTTAGCTTTGAGGAGGTTGGAGAAGGAAATTGATAGAATATTTTGAGTATATTCCAAAATCACATCCAAATGTTAGAACATTAAGAAGTATCTTCCTGAGCCAATGCAAGAAAAAATGGGTCATAAATCCATTCATTTCTACTTCCTAATATTTAATCTCCCAGCTTTAGTATTTGGTAGCTCATGGGTTTGAGTCTGACACAGTGCCAAAAATAGTCTTTAGTGAGATCTCTTTGTGACTTTGGGGTCCTTCTTCACCTAAATGATGAAAATTATCTAACAGTGTATAAAAAGCTTGCTGCCATTTCCAACAATGTATTATTGTGAATTGGGATCTTTTCATAAGAATATTGCATTGGAGAAGAAACTATCATTCTGCAAAATGGCCAATAATGTTTTACTTGTAAGTTTTTTGTTTTTTAATTAGCTTCTTTTTATTTTCAGTATTGATGCTGATGGAACAATGACAATAGACTGGAATGAATGGAGGGACTATTTCTTATTTAATCCTGTTACAGACATTGAGGAAATTATCCGTTTCTGGAAACATTCTACTGTAAGTATGCCATATGTATTACGTTATACTTATTTGTAAGCCATAGTTAGTTATTACATGAGAACAGTCTGTAATGCGTACAGGCCAGGGTGCTCAATTCCCAGTAGCTCCTTAACTTGTAGAGTTCTGCTTATTCTATTAGGTGTATATTCAGAATGTCATAAGAAAAACAAACCCTGAGGCTGTATAAACATTGCAAATGTGGTACCCATTTTTCCCATTCTCAAAACTGGGAGGAGATACTGCCTTCCAAAAATCTTAAGAAGATAAGCAGCCCAGCTTTTATTGCATGTAAGTATTTTGCCAAGAGAAGTGTGAAAGTCATAGGTGTTTACTTTTCATAGATAATACATTGCTTAAATAACCTCAGCATCTCATGATTGCCAAGATTTTACTTCCTTTTCGTGACTAATGGCCAGGCATGAGTTCTGAAACTTTTTTTTTAAATCTTTTTTTTTTTTAAGATTTTATTTATTTATTTGACAGACAGAGATCACAAGTAGGCAGAGAAGCAGGCAGAGAGAGGAAGGGAAGCAGGCTCCCTGCCCAATGCGGGGCTCGATCCCAGTACCCTGGGATCATGACCTGAGCCGAAGGCAGAGGCTTTAACCCACTGAGCCACCCAGGCGCCCCAGTTCTGAAACTTTTGCTGGTTTTGTCAACTGTCTAGATTTATCTCTGGGATAAGGTACTTATAATAATAATCATTGATGGTTAAAATACTTTTGGCTCTTTTGTTTAGCAGTTTACACCTGTCTGTATTTCTCAAAACTTTCAAATTTTAATGAAATTTCATTAATATTCTGCTAACATATATTGATGTGAATGAAGGGCTGTTTATTGTGCAATCTGCTGCTGAAACCAATGGGAACTCTTGGGGGGAATTTTAATTTTCCCAGTGGGCTTCTCTGCTAGCTTATTTTTGGATTTCAGTAAGTTTTATGTATAATAAATGAATTCTAGCATTTACATTGCTGCTAGTAACAATGCCTACACTTAAGTAGAGCATTGTAAAATTATGGTTATTAATGCCTCTTCTTTGAGTATAGAATAATATACTATGTTAGTAATTCAGTTGTCTAGATACATTTTCTACTTATGTGAATTTATATTTACGTAATCAGACCCTTACTGTACCTTTGAGATAGTTGTTAACAATTTTGTAATCATTTTATTGATAGTAAAATGAAGAAAGAGGGGGTTACTACTATAGTATAGCCTCTTACCCCTACACTCCTACCTGTAAAATCTTTACAGCAGAATCATTTAGATAATATCATTCTAGAACTCCATTTATCTCAAGCTATATTTGTAATCTATGTAAGGTTTATAGAGTAGATTGGAGGAAGGATTATTTTTAAATAGTATCTCCCTGTTAGCTAAATTTTATAAAGAAGCTGTTGCATGTTTTAAATGACAAGTCTATAAAAATATTTATAGGCAATCTCCGTAGGAGATGAGTTTTGGAGTGTTCACATATATAGCTTTAATTTAATTTTCATTTACAGGTTTAAAGCATGTATCGTGGTATAAAGAATAACATGTATAGAATTTTGAGATAAAGGGAATATCTCTTAAGAATTGACAAACTAATTTCTTTGCGTAGCTAAGAAGGATTCCCATCTTTTAAAAGGCTGACCTTTCTTTCTGACTTAGACCAAGAGGAGAAAAGTTACTCTGAATCTACTAAGAAAGAAAGTTGTCATTGTCGGTTTGGTAAATGTTTAATTACCGTTAACTTTCATTTCTTGTGAACTGATACTGTGTTTCATTTCGTGTGACCAGGCTATGTAAAGTCATCTATATGCTCAGGTCAGTATAGTACACTTTCTAAGGAATGAAGGTGATTATCACTGTAAAATTGCACATGATTCTTCTCTACAACAAACCTGGAGTGATCGATTTTTTAATGGAGGGACCGTGGGGATCTTTTTTCCATCTTAACAGGGTATTGACATAGGAGATAGTTTAACTATTCCGGACGAATTCACAGAAGATGAGAAGAAGTCTGGACAGTGGTGGAGGCAACTGTTGGCAGGGGGTATCGCGGGTGCCATTTCTCGAACGAGCACTGCCCCTTTGGACCGTCTGAAAGTCATGATGCAGGTGAACCTTATGATCTTGGGTCTCGGTGTCTCCTACATACTCTAAAACGGTGAGAAGTGGGCTGCTTGGAGAAGGAAGTTTTAAAATTTCTCCATAGTCTTTTCTCATACCTTTAAAAAAATAGGTATGAAGTCTCTGTTGTTATTAACCCAGAATTCAGTCCCTATGAGTATTTCACCAAACTTTAAATTGTGGGTCCAGGTGTGTGAGGGACTTTTAATCTCTGGCATTCCGTCACTTTTCAAATGGTTAATGAGGGAAAAAGTCCCCAGCCATTATTGTAGGAAATAATAATTTTTTCCTTCTGTTGTATGCACTTTCTCAAAAGTGAGATATTTCCAAAGTTGAGAATCTTGGAGCAGGGATATAATTTTTACGATTATTCTAAAGATGAGGTTAGCAGAAAAGACCTGGATTTACAGACTGACTTTACTAGCAATGTGGTCCTGGCTGGTCAGAGTGGAAAGAAAGACAGAAAGGAAAGGAATTGACACTTCCTTGGTGCTCATCATGGTAACCCATTTAATCCTCAGAGCAAGCCCGTGAGGTGGGTATTTTATCTCACACTATCTGTGGAGTACCTGAGGCTCAGAGAAGTAAATAACTTTTCCTTTTCAACAAATTAGACAAGGAATGGAGTATCTTTGTCTCCAGAGTATGTAGTTCTCACACTGCACGAAACCCCCAAGGTCTCATTTTCCTTCACCCTGCGATGGGGTTAAGAATATCTAACAAGGCTGGTTGTAAGAATTAAGTGATGTAAAGTATGTGAGAATGCCAGATACACTGGAACACCTTACTGGAATATAGTAGTTGCTTAAAGAAGAGTTTTAGAAGTTGTTTTGTCATACCTGTGGTCAATGCTTTTTATGTCTGTCCTTAGATTTATGTATAAAAAAGATGTCTGACAGTATTTTAAGCTAGCATCCGTTCAGAATGTACCTAAATCTCAAAATACACTTAGGGGTAAAAATAGTGCTTTAAAGAGAAAGGAGAAGGAATTGGTACTTGTATTTTTCTTTGGGAATGATAGCAAATTGACTTTGAAAGAGCTTTAATGAGCCTTCTTCTTTCCCTTTGTCATATTTTATTGTGAAGTTTCTTAAAAATAAAACTGGACTTTATTTCTTTCAAGTTCTGTGGGGTGAGTGGGTGGAGTTTTCCAAAACGACCTTCAGGTTCAGTAAGTCAATAGGACTCACAGAATACACTAGAAGCTTTAATACTCCTGGTTGTGGTTTATTACAGGGCAAAGATACAGATTAAAACTAGCCAAAGAAAGCAGCATAGCAGGACAAGTCTGAGGAAGTGCCAAATGCAGAGCTTTTGTTGTCTTCTCCCTGTAGAGTCACAATGTGTTACTTTCCTGGCTTTGAGGTGTGACAATACCCACAGTGTTGCAAACTGACCAAGAAAGTTCATCCGAGTCTTTGATGTCCAGAGTCTTTATTGTGTACCGACCACACACTGCCTTCGTGGCTGACCTTTAGTCTTCAGCACATCTTGTTTTTCCATTTTTTAACAGTAGCCACTCATTTTGTGTGTGCCAGAGAGAGCTGATTTCTTTAATTGCTTTTGGCTTTTTGGATTTAACTGTTTTTCCATGGAGGGAATTAGAAGGTCTAGTGTATATAAACAGCGATCACATCTGTAGTCTGAACCAAGTATTCACGGGGTGAGGCGTTCATGTTGGCGTGAAGTTATTGCCTAGAGAGGGCCATAGAAGGTATAATTTTTATTTTTGGTGCCAGGCTATGTAAATTCCAGTGTCTGTGGCTCTGATACACATAATACAAAATTGTTTTCTGACACATTTATATTTCATATTGGTATTACTTATCTGGGGAAGAAATAGTGTATTACCTGCAGTATATTTTTGAAAATTGTCTTAAAATGAACCTGTCTGCATTCCAAGGGGTGTTCCATAGCCTAATTCATAATTCAGTTCATGTTTCTTATATGAATGTTGTTCATAATAATTTTGATTTAGATCCTGTCCTCTCTGCTTTCCCACGCTGAGGATACTGATTTTTCTTAGTTTTAGATTGAGTCAGGCCTCTAAATGGTGGTAGTAATTCTTCCTATCATTACACATTACCTGAACTTTCTATATTTTATTTTTAAATGCATCTTCTTGCAGTAATATTATTGAAATAAAGAGGATGGTTTGCATGGTTACTTAAGAAATAGTAATAGTAACATGCCACCACTGTTTTATATCCTTTTACTTTTATTTTTAGGTCCACGGTTCAAAATCAGGCAAAATGAACATATATGATGGCTTTCGACAGATGGTGAAAGAAGGAGGTATCCGCTCCCTTTGGAGAGGAAATGGTACAAATGTCATTAAAATTGCTCCCGAGACAGCTATTAAGTTCTGGGCATATGAACAGGTAATTGTTGTCACCCGTGGAATTTATTAACAAAGAGGAGTTAATAATAACAAAGAGTAGCAATGAACATATAGTGCTTTTTGGATTCTTGTTTTACTATATAATAATTTTCTGCGTATACTCCAAGAGGAATTTCTCTTCCAGGACATTAGAACTACATGAACTCAGATTCTTTATGACCAAACTTTAGAATTCTTCATTTCCTATTTTTTAAAAAGACTTATGTATGCATTTCATAGTAGCTCTTTTAGGAAATACAGCGTTTTTGCTTATTCATTTTGAATGCAGATTAGAAGCTGCATGCTAACCTAAGTTTTATGAAAGCGTCCCAGTCTAACATCTGGACAGGAAACTTTTAAGTTGAAGTCCTTTGTGTAAATTAACATTGCTAAAAAGTTGAATTGAATTTAAAGTGAAAGTTCCTTGAAGGCAGGGGCTTGGCTTCTTCTTCATGGCCTCCAGCACTTGGAGCCTGGCATGTGGTAAGTGCTCAGTATGTGTTTGTTGAATGAATGTCAGATAGTGGTGAACATCCTGCAAGACTTGACTCAAGAAATTTCCTCCAGGAAACCATCTTCATTGGCACAGTTCCTTTTGTCTCTCTCTGTTGTAGCACTTTCACACTAAATTCTGATGAACTCAGTACTTCTCTCTCTCCTTAACAAGACTGTGAGCTTCCTTAGGCAGTATTTGTTTTCAGGTTTGTATTCCCAGCACTTGGCCCAGTGCTAGTGAGTCCTTACTGAATGAGTGAAAACACTGAGGTGCCCAAGCTAGAATTTGAGCCCAAGCCGGCCTGAATCTCAGGTCCACTAAGGTGAAGGGAAAGGTGCGTAGTTCAAGCAGAAGCAGCTGTGTGTGGACTGAAATGCAGGCACAGGGGAGCACTGTTCACTAAGGAAATTGAAGGTGGTTCATTTGGCTCTGGTGTAGTGGAGTGTATTCCTGGGAAGAGAATGATGAAAACAGGCTGGACAGGTAGGCAGAAGCCAATTGTAATGGGAGTCTTGGTTTTATCCTGAAGAGAGTGAGGGGGCTCTTGAAGCATCTTCTGTAGACAAGTGAAATGAGAATATTTACATTTAAGAAAGATCAACCTGGAAAAAATGGAGAATGTACTAGAGGAGTGCAAGGGCAGACTGGAGGTAGGAAGACTAAGGAAATATTTCAGTTGTCCAGGTCAGAAATGATGAGCACCAAGATAAGGTGGTGGCTAGAGAAACTGAAGAAGAAGGAAATGAACTGAGGAATATTTTGGAAATAGAATCAAGAGGACTCACTGACTGAGTGGATATGGAATTGAGGAAGAAGGAGGAATCAAGGATGATACTCTGGGTCCTAATTTGGGCAACGATGTACATGGAGAATATAATAAGAGGAATAGATTTGGGGTACAATAACATGCTAAGTTTGAGACCTCTCTACAACATGAACAGGTAGCCGTCCAGTAGCAAAAGTCCGGAGAGGTGGTTTTTGAGTTGAAGCCGTTGGAATGGATCACTGAGGAAGACTTACAGAATGGAAGAACTCTGGGAATATTTCCAGGGGGAAGAATAAGGAGCCCCTTGTAGAGGAAATTGAGAAGGAATAGCCAGAGGGATGGAGGAAATGCAGACTGATGGCCTAGAAGTGAGAGGGTGAAAGGGATTTTGTGAAGGTTTTGTGAAGTTTCCACATGCTACAGGGCAGTACACACAATAAGAAGAGTATCTTTTAGGATTCATCAATCCAGAGATAGGAGAACTTGGAATAAAGCCTCCAGGGAAGTGAAGAGATGAGAAACCATTCTGACATGGGTGAAAATAAACCAAGGGCTGACAAAAATTATACAGTGTAGACACATTTGGGGGGAATTTAACTTGAGTAAAAGGAAGGAGAAAAAATGAGGGAGAGTGATAGATAAGAAAGATGGTGGGCAGAGGGGAGTTTTGATAGGTTTTATTTTAATGTGCTCATTACTGAAGGAAGCACGTCAACACAAGGAAATGAAAAGCATAGAAGGGAGAGGCTAGTGAATGCAGCAGGTATTCACAGGAGGTATGTGTGCTGGGGAAACATGCATGGTACCATCCAGAGGCCTTGGGAAGGATTGGCATTGGTGGCATGGGGGACTCTTCCTCTGTCACTTTGGGAAGCGAGAAGACGCATGTGGCTGTGGATAATTCTGTGGAGGTTGGGCAGGAACAACCTTACTTAGTGGCTTCTGTTCTTCCTTGACTTGCCAAGAAAGGATATTTCCTGAGAATGAGGAGGGAATGGTGTTGGAAGCTGGAAGAGAATGGAAATATTGAAATAGGTGTTGTAACAAATGGAAAAGAAAAGAGACACAGGGATGTCAGGGTGGCTTTGGGAGCCCCGTTAACCTCCTGCTTCTCTCTGTTGATTTATCCACTTCTCCCTCCTGGGCCAGTGGTTAATTACCTCTGTAGACTCACCTCACCTTCTAAAACAAGCAGTCTGGTTTGCCTGGTTTATGACCGGTCTGTGTTTGGGCAGAGCCTTTCTTTCCAAGTTGTAGGAGAGAATGGTAATATTAATAGCGTTTACTGAGTATTCACCATGTGCTCAGCACTATGCTGTATTGTATGCATTATCTTATTTAATCCTTTCAGCAATCTTGCAAGAATAGATGTTACCACAGATAAGGAAACACATATGTGAACTTGCTCAGGGCCACGCGTTTCTGGGGTTCCAGCCCAGGTCTCCCTGACTCCACAGCCCATGCTACTAACATCCTTGTCTATTGATATGTTGCCAGCATTGGGGTCCGATTTTCCCCTCCGCCTGATTGGCTATGTTGGTTGCTTTAGTACTGCTGGTCCACGTGGGCTCTGGGGTTGATGTGGATGTGTAATTATGTGTTATTTTAAGTGTTACCTACAGAAATGTCTTTCTCAGTTGTTCTGTTAATGTTTGTCACTTATTTTATTTATACTGGTGAGAATAAACTCATCTTAAAAAAAGAAAAACTAGGGGCACCTGGGTGGCTCAGTGGGTTAAGCCGCTGCCTTCGGCTCAGGTCATGATCTCAGGGTCCTGGGATTGAGCCCCACATCGGTCTCTCTGCTCAGCGGGGAGCCTCTTTCCTCCTCTCTCTCTGCCTGCCTCTCTGCCTGCTTGTGATCTCTCTCTGTCAAATAAATAAATAAAATCTTTAAAAAAAAAAAAAAAAAACTAGGGCCACCTGAGTGGTTGAGTCAGTTTAGCATCTGCCTTTGGCTCAGGTCATGATCTCAGGGTCTTGGGATCGAGTCCCATGTCAGGCTTCTTGTTCAGCGGGGAGCTTTCTTCTCTCTCTGCCTGCTGCTCCCCTTGCTTCTGCTATCTCTCTTTCTCTCTTGATCTCTGTCAAATAAAAATAAATAAATAAAATCTTAAAGAAAAGAAAAATTATGAGGAAAACATCCAAAAATTGTGAATACTTTATCAACCCTCTATTTTCTGGGAAAGAATGCTATTATTGTGTTTTAGCAAAGGAGTGACTGGGTCCCATCTGTGGAACATCTGTGTTCTGTGGAAATCTAAGTTGAAAAACCACTGTCCTGTAAACTGAATGTCTTAGCATCTGAGCTTTCTTTTCTGCTAGGTATTGTTAATGCCGTGTATACATTTGGAAAAATGTTGTATTGTCAACTGATTACTAGGCGTTGACTTGTGTTTTGGTATTTATGTAGCTTGGGCTGCCATAACAAAATACCGTACTAGTGGTTTAAAAAAGAGAAATTAACTTCTCACAGTTCTGGAGCTGGGGGATCCAAGACCAATGGGCTGACCAGCTTGGTTTCTGGTGAGGGCTCTCTGCCGCACTTGCACATGGCTACCCTCTTGCTGTGTGCTCATATGCCGTTCTTTAGTACACATGTGTATAGAAAGAGAAAGAAGGGAAGGGAGTGGGGAAGAGAAAACTTTCTGGTGTCTCTTTTAAGGACACTAATCCTTTCACAGGCCCACCCTCATAACCTCCTCTAACCCTGGTTATCTCCTAGAGGCCCTCTTCTCCAGATACTATCACAGTGGGGGTTATAGCTTCAACCTAAGAATTTGTTGGGAGGGAGAGACATAACTCAGTCTATAGCAGGTTTTAATGGACATTTTTAAATGTATTTATACAGTACAAGAAATTGCTTACTGAGGAAGGACAAAAAGTAGGAACCTTTGAGAGATTTATCTCTGGTTCACTGGCCGGAGCAACCGCACAGACTATTATTTACCCCATGGAGGTAAGTACCATTGTGCAGCCTGACTGTGTTGGTGGTGTTCAGTTCATGATCTATCGCTGGGTAACAGGTCATCCCCAGATAAGCAGTTTAACAGGCCTTTATTATCTCACGGTTTCTATGGGTCATGGGGTACCCCTGGATCAGGGGTCTTCTAGGCCTAGAGTCAAGGTGTAGGTCAGAGCTGCAATCACGGCAAAGTTCAACTGGGGACGGGTCTGCTTCCAAGCTTGCTCCCATGTTTGTTGCTGGGCCTCCCTGGCTATTATTACAGCTGGAGATGTCAGGTTCTTATCTCAGGAGCCGTCTCCACTGGCTGTTTGAGTACCTGAACAACACAATAGCTGTTTTCCCCAAGCTGGTGATATGAAAGGGAGAGAGAATTGTTAGCCAGCACCCAAGATGGAAGCTGCAATCTTGTCATTTCTGCTGTTCCTGTTAGTCACAGACCACCCTTTGAGAGCATGCAAGGGGACACCAGCTGCTACAATGTTGATAAGACTTATAACACCCATTCCTGTCCAAAGAGTTTCTGTGCTATAAATTTAAGAGTAGATTTGATTAGGTGATGGTAATCCTCACTAGACATCCTACCATTAGAGCATTGGATTGGCAAACCATGTACGTGGAGAGTACTTTGTTCAGCCCTGGAGCTAAGAATGGTTTTATACATTTTAAAAAGTTGGTTAAAAAGATTTAAAAAATATGCAACAGACCTGAAATTTTAGGCCTGCAAAGACTAAAATATTTACTATGTCACCTTGGTAGAAAAAGTTTGCCAACTCTTGCTTTAGAGAAAAACAGTACTGTAGACATGGCTATCTTTATTGATATGACAAAGGGTTTTTCAACAAATAATAAAATCTAAGCAAAATATACCCTTAATCCTTACCTTTGTGTTATGCCTATTAACATGGCTTTCCTTACAAGCATCTTAATATGGTTATTTCTATGATTAGTCACACTCCTCAAAAAATATCCTAACTGAATACATCCTCTTACATCCCCCATCTCAGTTAATAGCATCACCGTCCTGCCTCCCTGCTGCCCCACTCCTGTGTTCCAAGCGAGAAACATTGGGGTCATCCTATAAGCTGCCATTTCCTTCACCCTCCATATCTAATTGATCACCAGTCAATTTTAAGACATCTGTGAATTATTTGCTATTTTCTCTGCCCTCATTCAGATCCTCTTTACAATAAACAGATCTTCTTGGCTCTGGTGTTAGCCCTGAATTCAGTAGACATTCTATGTGAGGGATAACACTTTAACAAATTGGGCAGTCATTTGAGAGACAGTATGTGTTAGGTATTTATTCTCTGTAAAATCACTTCCTTTGACTTCCATGATGATTGAATTAATATAAATGGTAGTATTTGTTACATTCTTTTATAACTAGGTTATGAAAACCAGGCTGGCTGTAGGCAAAACAGGACAATATTCTGGAATATTCGATTGTGCCAAGAAGATTTTGAAACACGAAGGCATGGGAGCTTTTTACAAAGGTTATATTCCCAACTTATTAGGCATCATACCTTACGCAGGTATAGATCTTGCTGTGTATGAGGTGAGTCTAGCAATCTTCTGAATCTGAAAATGTAATTAAATAGTTCTTATTGTTAGAATTCGACTTTATATAAAGAAGCACATATATACCAGGAAATAGTTTGTCACTCAAAGTAGATTCAGGGGTGTGTTATTTGATCAATTTTTTTAAGTACCTCGAATATGAGACTCATATGCCTGTGGTCACCTCTGTATGAGATTTCCTTGTTAATTATGTTTATTAAGGAAGAGCGCAAATTCACGTTATATAATGTAATTGTTAATTGTTATATAATTATAATATAATATTTGTTCAGCTTAGAAGATGGTACTAGAGATTTCTTTTTTTTTTTTTTTTTTTTTTGAGGGGAGAGGGCACATTTTCTTTGATTTGTTAAAATCTGCCATCATAAAGCCAAGAGACTGATGTGGATGACACAGATTCATCCCTGGCACTGAAAAGACAACTTAGACTGCACATCTTGGATCAACTCTGCCATTTAAACCATTTAATAATTTATGAATCTGACAAACAATCTCGGTTTTTGCCTTTAAAAAACTGAAGTTTTTGGCTCGGGTCATGATCCCAGGATCGAGCCCCACGTCAGGGATAACACTGCCCAGCAGGGAGCCTGCTTCCTCCTCTCTCTCTGCCTGCCTCTCTGACTGCTTGTGATCTCTGTCAAATAAATAAATAAAATCTTTTAAAAAATAAAATAATAAAAACTGAAGTTTTGGTTGGGGAGGGCGACAAGCCAGCTGCTAAGGCACAATGTAGGGAACTGTGCTGTGATGGAAATAATTCTATAGTGGAGGGAAGGGATGGAACATGGAATGCAAATAGCTTTATTAGAATATAATTTACACACTATACATTTCACTCATTTAAAGTGTACAATTCAATGGCCTTTGGAATTTAAAATTTAATTTAAAAATTGTGGTAAAATGTATGTAGCATAATATTTGCCATTTTAACCATTTTTAAGGGTACAATTCAAGGATGTTAATTACATTCACAGTGTCCTTTCCCATCCAAATAGATAGTAATCTATTTTCAATACTTTTTTTTTTTTTTCCAATACTTTTTTTAAAAGTATTTTATTTATTTATTTGAGAGCAAGAGTTGAGTTAGCACAAGCAGGGGGAGCAGCAGGCTCCTCATCAAGCAGGGAGCCTGATGTGACTGAGGCTTAACTGACTGAGCTACCCAGGTGCCCCCATTTCCAATACTTTTTCATGATTGTAAACGTAAACTCCATTAACCGTATTGAAATAATTCTCTACTCTCCCTTCCCCCACCAGCCCCTTGTAACCACTAATTTACTTTCTTTCTCTATGAATCATCCATTCTAGTTATTTCATACAAGTAGAGTCTTATAGTATTTGTCCTTTTTTGTCTGACTTCTTTCACTTAGCAAAATGTTTTCAGGGTTTGTCCATGTTGTAGCATGTGTCAGAACCTCATTCCTATTGGCCGAATAATATTTCATTTGGTGTATATACCATATTTTGCTTATCTGTTCATTTGTTGGTAGATACTTGGGTTTTTTGGTTTTTTTGTTTTTTGGCTTTGGTGAATAATGCTGCGGTGAATATTGGCAATGAGTATTGAGTATCTGGTGAAGTCTCTGCTTTCAATTCCTTTGGGTATATACTGAGGCATAGAATTGCTGGGTTCTATGGTAAATTTATTTTAAGCTTTTTGAGGAACTGTCAAACTGATTTCAAACTGATTTCCATGGTAGTTGTACCCTATTTCATCCTACCAGCAGTACACAAGAATTCTAATTTCTCTACATCCTTGCTAACGCTTGATAGAAGAAACTACCTTTTTTTTTTTAATAGTGACCATCCTGATAGATGGGATGCAGTATCTCATTATGCTTTTGATTTGTATTTCTCTTATAATATGTAGGGTTGAACATCTTTTCATATGCTTGTTGTCCATTTATATACCTTTTTGGAGAAATGACAACATTTTTTGCCAATTTTTGGTTGAAGTATAGTTGAGGCACAGTGTTATATTGGTTTTAGGTGTACAACATAGTGATTCAGCAACTCGATATGTTATGCTGTGCTCACCGCAGGTGTAGCTTCCATCTGTCACCATACAACACGTGTATAGTGCCATCGACTATATCCCCTGTGCAGTACCTTTCATCCCCATGACTTATTCATTCTGTAACTGGAAGCCTGTACCTCCCATTCCCCTTCACTCATTTTGCCCATCCCTTCCCTTCCTTTCTCCTCCCCTCTGACAACTATCAATTTGTTTTCTGTATTTAAGAGTTTGCTTCTGCTTTTTTGGGGGGGGGGTTGTTTGTTCATTTGTTTTGTTTTTTAGATTCCTCATATAAATGAAATCATATGGTATGTGTCTTTCTTTGTCAGACTTATTTCACTTAATACCCTCATCATACTCTCTAGGTCCATTCATATTGTTGCAAATGGCAATATCTTAGTTTTACAGCTGAGTAAAATTCCTTTGTGTGTGTGTGTGTGCGTGTGTGTGTGTGTATGTGCGTGCATATGCATGTACACACACACCCCATATCTTCTTTATCCATTCATCTATCCATGGACATTTAGGTTGCTTCCATATCTTAGTTATTGTCAATAATGCTGCAATAAACATAGGGCTATGAATTAGTGTTTTCATTTTCTTTGGGTAAATACCCAGTAGTGGAATTGCTGGATTGTATGGTAGTCCTATTTTTAATTTTTTGAGAAACCTCTGCACTGTTTTCCACAGTGGCTGCACCAGTTTACATTCCCACCAACAGCGCATGAAGGTTCCTCTTGTGTCAATTCCTCACCAATACTTGTTCTTTCATTTTGTTTCTCTT